TTGCAGATAAGAAAAATTGATAATTTTATACTGGGTCGAATAGGCTGATCAAAGTAGAAAGCTGGTAGCAAAGAAAAATTTGTTCCTAAGAGAAACTGTTTTAGAGAACAGGAATAAAGAAAACAAGACTTGCTAAAGATGTTTTAAAACTACTATTAAATAACCAGAACTGTTAGATCACTAAATATGAAAATGCAAATCCTAAAAAAGAGAAGTGATAGGGAGGAAAATCAGCTGAGTTAGGGTCCGTAACCACAAGGAAAAAACTCAGTAATTGTTTTAGCTGGAATTACATTAGATTCTTTAATTTTAGGGAACACAATGTATTCCCATCTGGAAAAAATTGCTTGTACCACATACAGTTTATACTCAAATATTTCCTCACTTGATAAAACTGCCTATAGACGTGAAATCACTATGCAAAGGGAGGCAACAGAGCTGTAGTTAAAATACAGACTCTGCTCAGACTACCCTGGACAAGTTTCATAATTTCTCTGTTCTTCAGTTTCTTCATGTGCCAAATGGAAATAAACATTTCCTGTATCATAAGATTTTTGTGAGGCTTAAATAGTTAGCACATGAAAAATACCCAGAATTGTGCCCAGCACAGAATAAGTATGGCATATTAGCTGCTGCAGCTGCGGCTCTTCCTCCTCCACCTCTTCTTCCTCCTACTCCTCCTCTTCCTCCTCCTCCTCCTCCTACAGCTACTGTTACTACTATTACTACCACTCTCCACCTACTACTGCTGCTAGGATTACTACTACTGCTACTATTATTACTTGAAATAAGCTATCAACAAAATAAAAAAGAGAAAGCTAGAGTACCAACGCCACTGCCCAGAAGTGAAATGTTTAGAGGCATCCCCAATCTTTTATTGATGAAAAGTTACTTTTCATTTCCCTGAAATCTTAAATCACTTTGGGGAAAGTGGAGACAGTATGGTAACAATGAGTTCTGTTAACAGAAGTGAGGAGAGGCCATCCTTGCTGGCTGTATTTCCCTGCCTGGAAGGAAGACAGACAACAAAAAAAAGAGTAACACTAGCAATTATCTTGGCGATCTACCAGGAAGAGCATTAAGATCTAAATTTTGGCACTTCACTCTTGGACAGCTGGAACAGAAGTTACTGGGAGGTTGTTCTGCCAGGGAAACTTCCATTAAAAAAAATACCACAACCAGTCTGTCAGACACCACCTGAACAAATTCTACTAACATGCAGAAGACACTATAGGGAAACACTACCAACCCCCTCACAGCATTTTTTAGGTTTGTAGAGTGCTCCATATGAAACTAACATGCTATTTTCCAGAATGTTCTGAAATGTGTTGTTCTTAAAAAAAAAAAAAAAAATCAATGTAAGGCCTCTGAAACAAGTCCAAATAGCAATAGATCAGGTGGAGATCACAATATTACCACAGCTAGCTTTATCAAGTTATATTTTAAAAGCTAATGTCATTTCACACTGCTAACTAAAACTTAACAACCTGTCTCTGAAGATACTTACCGAAGTTATTCAGGATAAATGAAAGCATTTAGACTTATCTATTAAAAATGAACAAGAGAAGCATGCCAAATACCTTAATATAGTATCACCAATCTTACTATAAACCAAAGTTATTCTAAATTTATTTTCTATTTGATCAAATAGTCATCAAAAAACAAATATTCTGAGAGTTCTTTTACGAAGGCATTTTAATTGATTTCTCAACATCTATGCATTGCCAATTTTTAAGTAAATCAACCACGATGGTCTTGCCACCCACCCCTCCACCTCTACACCACCAATGATAATGTCAGTAATGGTCAGGCCCATGCCAACTTAGGCTACCAGGATCTAGGGAAAGACTGTCTAGAAAATTTGGAAAAAGAAACTTTCTGACTCTAAATAGAGACATGTAAAGCCAGTGTCTGTCACCCCCAGAGTCACAAACAAAAAAGCAGAGTTCCAACTTTCACTGACAGTCTTATAACCACAAGGAATCTAAGCCCTCCAATGACACCATTACTGTGAGTGGCAGAGATGAGAAGCAGAAAGCACCTGGATGTTTGATTCTAATTGTATGAACTATATCAAGTTTCTCTAGCTTCTTATTTAAGCCAGTCTTACATTTCTGCTCCAAAGCATCCTAAGTTATATGTTTTATTTTCCAAGTCTATTACTAGGTAAGAATTTCACCCATGCTCATTTAATGCTAGCAAAAAAAAAAATTATCCTACCTTAAACAAGCTGATAATGCACATAACAGAGCCTCATTAAAACAAACAGGTACTAACAGTGAAACAGCAGGATTTCAATAACTTTTAAAATAATATCATATATTTTTCTATTTAAGATTTAGCTACAAAGTAGAACATTGCTAAAGTATTACAGAAACATACATCTTTCAATTTGGTATAGAAATGTACTTTTATATCCCTCATATTGATTTTATTATTTATAGTTATTTTATTATAGTTATTGACTATAGTTACTGCTTTTTAGGTGCAAAAAACATCATAACTTGTTATATCCTGAAGTATTAGCCATATTCATACTATTTAAGTCATAATAAAAGAAGAAAGGTTACTGCCTCTTACACAGCTGAGCTTAGTTATTTAAAATATCTTTAGAATTTTCTGCCAATTAGCAAAATTATGGAATAAATTATTTGTAACCTACAGAGAAGCCAACATTATTTACTTTAACCATTGATCATAGTTACATCTTTACCAGGCTAGATATAAACTGTTAAAATACAAATGAAGATGCTTCTAAAAAGTAGTGATTTAAACAATAACAGCAAAAAGACAAGAAGGTATAATATTAAAGCAGGGCAGAAGTAGAAGATACAAACTGGCATAACTAGTTCATGGAAAGTGGAAAAGAGCAAAAAGTGGAAGAAGGGAGTAAACCACTCAGAAGTATTTATAAAAAGGTCAGTCTCTATGATACATGCATAGATTGGGTGTTATATAAGGCAGACTGATCTTTTAACAAGATCACTTCAATATGCATTTAAAATTAGAGAACTCATGCTTTCCAAATGAAATTAGCCTATTTTATAAGCCGTGTGTGTGTGTGTGCACGCGTATACAATTTTTGAGACAGAGTCTCACTCTCACCCAGGCTGGAGTGCAGTGACACTATCTCAGCTCACTGCAACCTCCGCAAACAATTCTTGTGCCTCAGCCTCCCCTATAACTGGGATTACAGGCATGTAACACTATGCCTGCCTAATTTTTGTATTTTTAGTAGAGATGGGGTTTCACCATGTTGGTTGGGCTGGTCTCAAACTCCTGGCCTCAAATGATCCATCCACTGCAGCCTTCCAAAGTGCTGAAATTACAGGTGTGAGCCACTGTGCCACACCTTTACAAGCAATATCAGATGAGCATTACTTCATACACCTTAGGTAACATTGTGGTAGGTATTTTTAAGATTAACTCATATCACAAATACACTATAGAATATAATTAAATTGGAGCTGAAGAAAGTAATGTATCCATTTGAGTATCCATCTACCTAATATATCCAATCTTCAAAGAGAACCTGGTTGGGCCTCAAAATAATGCAAATGGACAAACTTCACCAGGTATAGGGCAATAAAAGATAACTTCATCAACCAGAAAAGGCTCCCTAAAACCTAGGATCACTCCTTGCCAACGGACAAACCTAACCACAGCTGTGGTTCAAATAGACCAGGAGTACAGTAGGTGGGGCTGGTAGAGCCAAGAATGTGTGACTTCCTACTAAAATTAGTCATGCCCATTTCACCACAACTGGGTTGGGCTTCTCTATTTTAAGGTGTGCAGCTCCAAATTGCTTAAGAGTATATAATTGCTGGATAGTTTCTGAAGCTAAAAGTGTCAGCAGACTTTCCACCAAGGCTTCAGGATGGCCAACCTGTCTCCACAAAACCCCAATGCCTAATCATCATGCTATGCAGGGTCCAAGTACACAGTAAGTGAAGACATATGCTGTAAGTATCTAGAAAGACATATCATGCAAGAACACATTAAAAGAAAATAAGCAAGGAAAGATATTCCTTATTCTTGTCTGCTACCCCTGCCCCCTGTCACACACACGCACAATAACAAATATGACAAAAGTGGGGGGAAACGATGAAAATCATGATAGTAAAGTACTATACTCTCATCTTTTCAGGAAATTGTACAGAACTGACAGCTGAAACCCTTCCAAGTAATGTCACGCTATTGTTTACCTCCCTCCAAAAGTGCTGTGCTATTGGAGTAAATCCAACAGCAGGGGCTGGTCAGTCTGCCTTTTGCATTCCAGAAACATCAGAAGGGAAGTGGTATGGCTTCCATGGGTACTAGCAGAAGAATGTGCACTAATGTTTTTAAAAAGACACTGAATTTCCAAATATAATGAAAGAAAATGAAAAGACATGCCCTTTAAACAAAACTAATGATAACTTTATCAACGAATGCTGAAGTTGAGTTTTAAGTTATATGAGCTTAACACACACCTGAACTCAAGCTGCACAGATAACATTCATGATTTCTACAACCCCAGGGCAAAGACTTAACACCTATTTTATTACTAGCAACTTGAGACACTCAATGCAGAATGCACATTTAGTGGTATTACTCTCCTATTACTATCATGTTCCAGCAGTCCACAATATTAACACTTGCTTTGACAGATTCAATCAATTATTTCAAGAATTAACAGAACAGGCCAGGCACAGTGGCTCACGCCTGTAACCCCAACAATTTGGGAGGGCAAGGTGGGTGGATCACTTGAGCTCAGGAGTTTGAGACCAGCCTGGGTAACATGGTGAAACCCCATGTATACAGAAAACTTGCAAAAATTAGCTGGTGTGGTGACATGCATTGGCAGCCCCAGCTACTCGGGAGGCTGAGGTGGGAGAATCACCTGAGCCCAGGAGGCAGAGGTTGCAGTGAGCCATGGCTATGCCACTGCACAGCCTGAGCAACAGAATGAGACCCTGTCAAAATAAAAAAGGAATTAACAGAACACAGAAGACACATACCTTCATTTTCAGAGGCATGACATTTCACTTTCAACACCAAGTCAAAGGTTCTGTCTGGATTTGCCCTGAAACAAAAGAGTTTGTTAAATTTATTTCCTATGACAAATAATATCCATCTCTATGAAACTTGTATTTTCTTTTCTTTTTTTTTGAGACAGTGTCTTGCTCTATCAACAGGCTGGAGTACAGTGGCAAGATCTCAGCTCACTGCAACCTCCACCTCCCAGGTTCAAGTGATTCCCTTGTCTCAGCCTCCCGAGAAACTGGGAGAACAGGCACATGCCACCACACCCTGCTAATTTTTTTTGTATTTTAGTAGAAAAGGGGTTTCACCACGTTGGGCAAGATGGTCTTGATCTCCTAACCTCGTGATCCACCCGCCTCGGCCTCCCAAAGTGCTGGTATTACAGGCGTGAGCCACCGCGCCCAGCCAAAACTTTATTCTCTCAATTATAAAATTAATTTTGTTTTTGTCTCAATACATTTTATGTGACTATATTACTAGAATATAGTAGAAATAACAGTGAAAATGTTTTCTTAATTGAGCAACTTAAAAGAGCTGAGACCTAGCAATTCTGCAACTCAGGGCAAAGCATTTAGCCTCTGAAATTTGGGGCAAAGCATTGTTTTCCCTCACCTATGAGATACCTTGTCTACTTCACAGAATAACAGTGAGGATTAAAATCAAATAACATATATGCATGTACTTCATAAAGTACTAAGTGCTACAGAAATGAAAAGCATTGATTTTATCTTATTGGATCAAATTTAAAAGCCAGAGTGTCTCTAAGTGTCATTATACCCTGCCAACAGAGTTTGACACAGGTTCTCAATGTCTCTTCCAAGGACTTGCAGTGTAAGTGTAAATGATGGCATGGTTCCACCTGCCAAGTTCTAGATCACCATAAAACATTTATAGTGCGCCAGCGATGTGATACTTTGCATATACTTTTCTTGAGATGTATTTACTGTCCTTAAGCGTATTTAAAGTAGCAAATAGCAAACTATTTGTAGCTCTAAGGCTAACAAAATAAAAAGCCTTTTTTTTTTAAATCAATTATCTTTGGGAAAACTGGCCATCTGATTCCGTGTCAGATTCTCCCACTAGAAACTCTAAGCTTGCTTTGCTTCATTCAGAAGTTACTGGCTTTTTTTACTAACTTGCCACATTAGCAAAATTTCAAAGCAACATTGGTTAAATTTCAAAATGTGAACTGAAATCCACTGAGACACTTTTTTTCATAACGTTGTTTAAATCTCTCGTTCCATCAGAAGGTAAAAAATTAAGTCTGATACCACAACCGCCAATGTGTTAATATCTGTTATTGCTACTAACAAGACCTTAGTGCCGTTGTATATTGGCTGTATTTAATATATACTTCCTTCAAGAAATGAGTGCCAGCTCTGACATTTAAAACATTTCTTCTTTTAAAAGGTTTTCTTACAAGACATGAATCTGGAAACATAGGAAGTGACAAGACATATAAGTTAGCTTGCAAATATCATTTTGTCAGTCTTCCCACTAATAACTTGTTTCAATGGGAATAATCTGGACTCCGATGACTTCCTCCCTCTTAAAACAATTAATGTCAAGAAGCATACTATTTTTACTCACTTACCCTGCCCACCATTATGTCAATCACACTGAAGAAAATAATTGTGTTACATAATTTCCCTCTTTCCCTAATATTCTTTAGAATCTCTCTTAGATGTAAAAGTTAAATATTGACTCAGTTTTTCTTCTGTGAAATTCGAAGGGCCCTTCCCAGTAGTACAAATATACATGATATTATTTTAAACTTTGTGAGAAGGAGGTAGTGGAGGGTGGACAAGCGAAGAAAGAAGGAATTCTTTCCAAAGTAAGTTTCAGAAGAAAAATATAAAAGTCATGCCCGTAAGATACTTAGAAACAAAACCACTACGGTTATCAAAATTGCTTTCTGCCCACTCTCCTAAAGCAAAATAAATAGTCGCCGATAAATACTTTGGGACACAGAAAAATATCCTCTAATTGGATACCATTTTGCAATGGTATCATGCATTTACAGTTCCTGCATAAATACCAGAAGCCAATTTAATTTTGTAAGCAGAATCATAAGAAAACATCCAAGACAAAACTGATAAATACACTTAAGGAAAAGCCGGTTATCTTAATGCCAAGAGAGCACTCGGAATCACAGTAGCCGCTCCACCTCAACGGTGCCTCCCTCCCGGACACCGCACGCACACAGCAGCCCGGGAGAGCCACATCTGTCACACTCGGGGGAAGCGCGAGAACGCCTCGGCTGCGGTGTCGGGGCCACCCGGCCTGCCCTGTCCCCGGGAGGCGGGCGTCGGCGCGGCGCTAGGGGCCGCTCCGGGAGGCGCCGCGCCAACCCCGCCGAGCCCGGGACGCGGGGCGGGCAGGCTTTGCGGCCTAGCGCCGTCCCGCCGGCCGGCCTGAGGTTTGGGGGCCGGGCCGCACCCCCGCCCGCCTGGGACGCCGGCGGGGCGCCGAGGGGCGAAGGAGCCGAGCCGGCCGGGAGGCGCCGCCGAGGGACGCCCGCCCCCACGCGCCCGGGCCCCCGACTCACTTGGTCCTGCAGTCCATGGTTACATGTCGGTGTGGGCTGCCCGTCGGCCCCGCGCGCTGGCCTGGAAGCCCGGAGCCCCCCGCCCACGCCGGCGGCCCCGCCGGGAAGAAGGCAGCTCACGGCAGCGGCGGCGGCGGGCCCATGTCGGCTGCGCCTCCGGCGCTTCCCCGCCTCCCACCCCACCCACCGGAGCCTTTCTGTGACAGCAGCGGCGCCGCCGCCCCCGTCTCCGCCGGTCGCCGCCCCCGCCGCCACCAAAGCTGAGGCCTCAGTTCCGGCGACCGGGGCCGCCCGCTGCGGCTGCTGCACCTTCTGCAGATCAGGAAGTCGCCGGGAGGGGGAAGGGGCGCGCAGGGACGCGCCCGGCGGCTTCACCTGGGCGGCGCGGCTGGCGAGCGGGAGACTGTTGTGGGGGCGGGGGCCGGGTCCCCGCGCCCAGCGGCAGAGGGTGCGCGGGAGCGCTAGTGCCTGCCGGGATGGCCCACGGACCGCTGTGCCACCAGGCCAGAAGGGCAAGGTGCCCCCTGTGTCCTCGGCCTGAACCAGCCGGCTTCCTTTCTGGGTCCAGTCCAGGCTCTAGGGCGTCGGGGCTGCAACCCCCCAAACGGCGAGGTACCTGGAAAACTACCTCGAACTGCAGTGTCTTCCACATCACATGCGCAAGGACTTGAGTTCCTTTCATTTCGTACTGCAAATTCAGAGCTCAAGTTGATGCCCCTGGCTCTTGCGTAACTCCAGCTGTGGCCTGCTTACAGCTCTCTGAAATCCAGAGCTACCCCCTCCTGATTCAGGAATGTTCACACATGTGCACCTGCTAAATAGCCCTGTCAAGTAGCCAAATGATAGTGCCCCACTTGCCTGCACATGTGGGAGGCTGACATTCCTATACCACGGACCGCAGTTAATAACCAAAGACTAACTTTTGAACACATGCACACAGTCGCAGACCTCGTAGCCTGGCAGTTTAGGCGAGTTCAGAGAGGGCACCACTGAATAAGCGTGGGAGGGGCTGATTTACACAGCCCTAAAGCACATGTGAAGCAGATTATGCGCTCTCTCACCCAGTACTTGCCATAGCTGTGTGATAGGTACTTTCATCAGCATGTTACAGATGAAGAAACCAGTGAGTAATGGCAAAGCTGGAGTTCAAACCAGGTATATCTGATGCTGATTATTTACTTCTCCCTCATACTGCCTGTCTCCCTCCTCTGCTGTCTCATATTTAGGATCTACTGAGAAGGCAGGTAGAAAAAGTCTTATGATGGGCATTCAAATGGTTGTGGAAGGCCAGGCTCTTACACAGACCTCTTCCGGAGAAGGCCTTCTGCCAACTCACACTGCCATCCTCGACACATAGCCACAGTGTTTCTTCCAAAAGGTGGTTACTTCAGACTTTATTCATACAGAAGTTAAGATGATGAGAGGAAACCAAATGTGGTATGAATGTTGTGTGAGTCATGAGACATAAAAGTCAGAAAAGGAGTCTCAAGAATTAAAAAAACTTAGAGAACCTGAGGTTACAGTCAGTTAGTTATACAACCTTAAACTTTCTTGACAAAATTGGGTACTACTTGGTCAACAAAAAGAGAAATAATGTATAGCCATGGGTCTATTAGTCAAAAATGAGGACGGGCCATAACTAGGAAACCAAAAAAAAAAAAAAAATGTTTATCATAAAGTGTCATCATAGCTTGACTTGGGGTGAGACACTTCAGTTTCTCGCTTCCTACATTTGTAAAATGGGAATTGTTACTTGTATATCACGTGAGCAGTGTGATGTTCAAGTAAAAACGGTGCTACAAATTTGTATTATCTTTTGAGAAATTATTCTATGAGTATCAGTTTCACAGTTAGACAAACTATACTACATAAGTTTTCTTTTCCCAGATAAAGATTTTTCTCCCTAAGTGACCATACTGCAAAGCTTTGGAAAAAAATTCTGTGAACTAAAAGCCACTTCTGCCCCAAGTGTTACTGAATTTCTCAAACTTCTCCTTTCATTTTAATTAATTATTTCCAAAGAAAGGAACCCTACTTGGGGTGACCATGTTGAGGACTTTTTTATTTAGAGTGAGGAGATAGTAATACAATTGCTAACCTCATTCATTGTTGCGTTTTTTTTAAATGACAGTCGTACCCTTGCAAAATATAAAATTGTTATTTGTTTTATTTATGTTAAGTATATCAAGAGAAATACTACACATTCACATCCCTAAGAAAATATTTTTAAGCCAGCTTTTAGGCTGACCATAATGAAGAGATTTATCTGTTCTGATATTACTGAAGTAAAAGAGATAGAAACATAGGTGTACATGATTTACATGTATGAAGTCTTAAAAAATTAGAAAAAAATAGTATATACTTATCTTGGTAATAGGTTTAATGAAATCAGTGGTATAACTTTAGTAATACTCATTTCATATAGAACTTCCCATATGACCAATAGAGAAGTGTGCACAGGGTAAACCTTCAGATTAGTCTTAAATCTTCCCAAGATCATGCTTCAGCAATCATATTTCCTACTTGACGATTTTAACAGTTTTCAGGACTATACCGGTCAAAGAACATAGTCTATAAGTTATTAATTTTTTTAATGTTTTGAGACTTAAATGTTGTGTATGGTTAGTAAAGAATATATATTCTGCAGCCTTGGGTACAGTGTGCTAAATATATGTCCATGATCAAATATGATGATTATGTTGTTGACATCTTCTATTACTGAATTTACATCTACTTGACATAATTCAGTTAATGGGAGAGATGAGTTTAAATATCTTAACAGGATGGTAGATTTTTCTATTTCATCCTATAGTTCTTTCAGGTTCTGCCTTACACAGTTTGGGGCTGTGTAATAACATACACAACAGTTTATAATTTCTATATCTTCCTGGCAAATAAAACCATTTATCATTATGTTGTTACTTTCTTTACCTCCAATCATACTTTTGCTTTAGAGTCTGAACAGTTTTCTTCTGAATAGTATTTGCCTGCTGTTAGCCTATCTCTTTTCATCCTTTTACATTCAAACCTTCTAAACCATCATGTTTCAAATTTATCTAAAATTTCTTTAGTTTTGATTTTTAATCTAGTCTCATCATCTTTGGCTCTTACATCAAGCTTTCAGACAGTTCAAATGTATTAAAATTGTTGATAAATTTAGGCTGGGTGCAGTGGCTCACGCCTGTAATCCCATCACTTTGGGAGGCTGAGGCAGGTGGATTAATTGAGGCCAGGACAGGAGTTAGCACGACCAACATGGTGAAACCCTGTTTTGTATTATTTCTCTACTAAAAATACAAAAATTAGCTGGGTATTGTGGGTGGTGCACGCCTATAGTCCCAGCTTCTCAAGAGGCTGAGGCTTCAGAATCACTTGAACTTGGGAGACAGAGGTTGCAGTGAGCCAAGATCATGCTACTGCACTCCAGCCTGGTTGACAGAGTGAGACACTGTCTCAAAAAAAAAAAAAAAAAGAGAGAGAGAGAGAAATGCTGATAAATTTAAATCTATTTCTGCCGTCTACTTTTGTACTTCCCATTTATTTCCCCAATCTGTTTTTCTTTCACTTTTGCATTCTTTAGGATTATTATATATGCTTCCATTTCTGCCCACAACTCTTATAGTTTTTAAATTATTTACTCAGTTTCTATTCTTTAGGAGTTATCCTAGAAATTTTAATAGGGACATTTTAACTTATTAAAGCCAGAGTTTGTAACTATATCCACCCTCTCTCAAACAATACAGGGACCTCTTAAAACCCCCTTCAAAACTAAAATCACCTTCAAAAATACATTATGAATGTTGTTTTATACAGTCCATGTTTGTTTAGATTTACTCAAAACTTTACATTTACTTTGCCCTTCTTTTGTATTTTCATCTTAGATCTTCCATCTAAGATCACTTTCCTTCGGCCTAAAATTCTTTCCCTTTTTGTTTGAGTTAGAATGTATTTGTTTATCTCTCATTCTTGAAAAGTATTTTCACTGATGAAGAGTTCAAAGTTTACTATTAATTTCTTCTGCACATTATCAATATCATTACACTGACTTCTAATTTCCTTAGTAACAACTGGAACTTTGAAAGTAATTTTGAAATGTCATCTGTTTTTTTCTCTCTGACTGCATTTATAATTTTTCTTTTTGTCTTTAGTTTACTATAGTTTCACTGTGAAGTATCTAGTTGTAGATTTCTGTTCATCCATTTTTCTTGATTTCCTTGATTTTCTTCACTCTGGATTGGTGACTTTCATCAGTTCTGGAAAATTCTGGACTCCTTTCTTTCCATTCCTTCTGGGACTCTGGTTAATACGCATGTTATTCTATCATCCATGTTTGTCAAACATCTCTTTCATAGTCTCTCTCTCCCTATATCTCTAGGCTGTATTCTGGATAATTTGAAAAATATTCTCCTGTTCACTAATTCTTTCTTCAGCTTTGTCTCATTTTCTGTTAAAGTCATCCATTTAGTTTTATATTTATATTATTTTTATTTCTAAAGTTCTGTTTGGTTATTTTCTAAATCTGTATTCTCTTAACTCAGATTTTCAGCCTCTGTTTAATTTATTTAAAATATTTAATATACATACTTTAAATTCTTTTTTTTTTTTTTTTTTTGAGACGGAGTTTCGCTCTTGTTACCCAGGCTGGAGTGCAATGGCGCGATCTCGGCTCACCGCAACCTCCGCCTCCTGGGTTCAGGCAATTCTCCTGCCTCAGCCTCCTGAGTAGCTGGGACTACAGGCACGCGCCACCGTGCCCAGCTAATTTTTTGTAGTTTTAGTAGAGACGGGGTTTCACCATGTTGACCAGGATGGTCTTGATCTCTTGACCTTGTGATCCACCCGCCTCGGCCTCCCAAAGTGCTGGGATTACAGGCTTGAGCCACCACGCCCGGCCTACTTTAAATTCTATTTCTAAAAATTTCAATATCTGAAGCATTTGTGGTACTATCTGATCTTTTTCCTCCTTGTTCTTACTTATGGTCCCTTGTTTTCTTCTATGTATGTGATTTGTTTTTATGTTATGTGATCCTTGGAACTTTATATATAGAATTTGAGTGAGAGCTGAAGTGAAAATGAGTTCTCTGGAGAAGATATTCATTTACTGATGGTAGATGCCTGGGATCACTAGCAATTCAGAACCATTTAATACTAAATTCTCAGCTTGAAATTCTTCAGACCATTCATGTGAGATCTGGTTTGTTGCTATGAATCCCCTGGGAAGCTTTTTTCCCTTAAGTCTGCTCCATTGTTTGAGACAATTTTCCTTGAATACCTTTAGGTATCAGCTTTATGAAAGGTATCCTATTGGATTTCCCAAATGAGGAAGGGT